AGATTAAACTCCCAATGCCTTTTCATGTCAAATGTCACTTTTTAATGGGTTCAGATCTCTGAAAAAATTACTCCTATTCTTCAATAAATTATCTTGATAAAAATTTGATCAAGCTATTTTTAACATCATGTTGTAAAGGTGGAGTTAGCAATTCCCACCAACTGCCAGAACTGGCATTTGTCTGATTCTCATTTTCCCGTGCCTGGGAACTACAGTCACTTAAGTCCTTGTGTGAGTGGTCTCCTCCAGCGGAGCAGCGCAAGAAGTGCCACACACAAGTGGCACTTCCAATCCCTTATGCTGAAGAGCAGCCGTATTGTGTACATAATTCATCTGACCAGAGCCCCCCATGAATAGAAGAGATTTAGGGATAGTCTCAAGTCAGACTGTCTACACTGAAGTTTCTACACCATGAATGCTGGACTGCAGGGACAGTGAGTTTAGGGGGAAAAAACCCCAAGCAACCCTTAACCAATGATTTTTGAATTCAGAACTTTGCCCTCCTTTGTTGTTCAGATTAACAGTGTAACTTGACTCTTCTACTGTTTCGCATAATTTCATTTTACTTGCTAATTCTGTATATCTCAGAATGGCATAGTAATACCACCAAATTTGGCTATAAAGAACATATTCTTGTTTCACCAAATCCTTCCCCTTCCACAAAGTCCAGTGGCAGCGTACTTTGGTAGTACTTTCTTTACAATATTTTAAAAACAACTAAAGATACTGCATTGTTGATATACTTCATGTGCCTGTAGTCTGAGAAAAATCAGGATAAAGTAATGCTTTATATTTCTATCATATTAACTGTAATCTTCTTTATGAAACTATAAATAAAATAAATCATATATAGTAGTAAAGGGCCAATTAAGCAAGTAAAAGAATCAGTTTTGATTAAAGATCTATCCAGATAAAAATCAAACTGAGAAGACCCCCATAGGTCCTGGCTACTGAGGAATTTCACCACAGATTTGGGATTCTAAGATTCTTAATTTTTATTCATACCAGTTACTTACTGGTATATCCCAGATATTCCACTGTCAGGAAATATGCTGGCAAAGAGATGTGGAATTTCACAAACATAAGGAAATATACTTGCTGGCAAGAAAAATCATACACTCAAGCCAGAAATCATTTAAATAAAACACCAAAAGAAGCTTCCTTCAGTATTCACATTCTAAAGTTTTGAAAACATCAATATTTCTAAATACAATCACTTAGGTTTTTCACAGAAAAGATTTTTAGTTTAATGCAGTATATTTAGTGCATAATTATATACAAAACATTAATTTATGCAACATATTTGAAAAGTTAATAAAGAAAATAAAAAAAGGTACATAGCCCTTGTGAACAGCTACACTACTGACCTCAAGAGCAAGGTCAGAGGCATTAATTTTGCTCCAACAGCAATGAAATGTTATTGCTTCTCTTGGTTTACAGAAGTTTGAATGGGAGGACAATGTGCTCCCAAGACTTTTTGTTTTTGTTTTTGTTTTTTTTTCTTTTTCATGCAGGAGATCAGATTCATTTAAATGGCTCAAACTCTGCCTGTCAGTGCTCGGGGGGGGACAGGTCAATATCTCCACCAGCTGCAAACACGGTGAAGTCTGCGCTGACAGAACACACCACCAGGTGTCCCCCGCCACTCCGAAAAGGGCTGATTAAAGGGCAGCCACTGGAACATCTTGATCTGTAACATGTGAGTAACCACTTCCAGCCCCCGGGAGAGAGAAAAAATCATCCAACTACATACATACATAATGCAGACTAAACTCAGAATTGGAAGTGATATGGATGATGGTGGTGGTTAATATAGTAAACTAAGCTATCCTAATGGAAGACAGAAACGTAATAGAAAATATGACAGAATTCAAAACCACATAGTGCAAAAATTGTTCACCTTGTTTTTTGCTGCTGTCTGGGAAAAAGGCTGCATACCGTAGGCCTTTCAAAATAAAAACAAAACAAACTTTGTATCTATACTGTAAGCCATCCGATTATCAGGATATACACAAGGCTAGAAAGAATTCATGCACAGTGATCAGGAAATCAATCTGTTACTTCTAACATCTGGTTGCATACATTTCCTCCTGCATTTCTGGAATGCTACCTCATGCTTGCACCACATTTTGTTTCTCTAAAATATCCCATGTACTAATACCATTAAAAGAACCCAACACCCATCTTCTTCCCCATATACACACCCACCACCAGGCCAGCTTAAAAATCATCAAGAATATTAATGATTGTTAATTAACGCACTCTCTTTGATACATAAACACTCTTCGGGCATTTAAAAAAGATCCCTGTAACATAATTTACTGTGTAGGCAGTGCCCCCACCGAAATCAAAGCAACAAATTCTTTGCTGCGTATTATCAAAGATTAAGCTATCACTTTATCAATAAAACTCCCAGTGCTTGTTTGTGTATAAAAGGTGGTACATTTTCCCAGGGCCATGCAGAATGAAGGAAGGATCCCCGACACAGGGACCCCATTTGCCAATACCCTAATTTCCTGATGGGTCACCACACTGGCAGACGAAGGGAATCCTCTGCCGGCAGCACCCAGCTGCCCAAGTTCAGCAGTTCAGCGGCACCCAGTGACTGGCCACAAGCCCCGAGAGGGAGCAGATTTGGCAGCAAGGCTGCGTAGCTCCGATGCAACAGGAGGCTTTCCCCCTTCGTTTTACTCAGCTGCCCATTGCATTTGTAGATCCACGCATCAGCAAGGCAAGCAAATGTCTGTTTGGGGGATTGTATTTAATAGCCAAAGAGCTATGCTCTGTTAAGCAGAGTGGGATCTTGCAGGGATATGGGTCACTTGTGGTCACTTGGTCTTTATATTCAAATCAGTCAAATATTATATCATAAAGGTCACTTTGCACTGACATAAATAGTTTACATTTCTCAGCAACGTGAATGAAACAATGCAACAATTTTGAAAATATGGCTTAATTTATGACCGACACTTCTTACTTGTTTGTGATTTGTCTTAAGTAGGTTGTCTTAAAGCAAATACATAAATTTATTCTGGAAGTACAGAAAAATAACATGGGACAGAAAATGTCAGGCTATCCAGAACATTTGACAATTTAAATACAGATAAACCCAACAGAAAGGAATGAATCATCATGCCATAGCCTTTATTGTAGAATAAAATATATAGTTGTTGTCAAGGAAAGAATAATTTTAGTGCATAAGGAAAATGTCTATTATAATGCAAATGTATGTAGAAAAGAAATGCTTACTCATTAGTAATGGAGATTTACTTAGCTGTAATTGAAATAGGGAATTTGTATGTTGGAGAATGTGACATCCTGCTGTACAATTAGCATACCATTAAGTAGGCAATGTGAAACACATACTGACAGTAAAATTAATAATACCTTAGAGGTCACAATTGTAACTATTAGGTCACTTCCATACTTTAGCAAGCCCATAATTATTATAAAAAAAAATTTAAAAACAATTAGTAAATTTTTATTTTCCTATAAATTATATGTAGGTATAGCACACGAAAAAAATCTAACCTCCTTTCTTAGACTTATTCTAAAAGGACCACTTTGCCTTTTATAATGCATATTCCATTAACATAGCTCATTTCTTACCTGTTAATCTGTTTTCTCCAAGTCCCTTAATGGTAGCCCAGATACTCGGTATTATGTCACTCTACTATTAGGTGGAGAGAGGAAAAGGAAGGGGGAAAAAAGGCAAAACTCTATTCATGGAACTCCCCTTTACAGGGATTTGCTGGTTTCATACTGTTGAACTAGATTTCCCAAACCATCCAAATTATGGTTATCCTTTGGACCCAACCAGTAAGCTAAAAAAAAAAGGGGGGGGTCACATAGATGGGAAAAACAATTATAAGTCAGTTATCTCTTTGACACAATCATGTTTATTTATGAATAACATACATACAGTTCTGTTGTCCTAAATTCAGTATGACGCAAATGTAGGAAAGCATTTTCCATGGAGCTCATGGTTCCCAGCATTTCCTGTGTGGCACTTGTCCCATAGCACGCTTTTTTGGACTTTGTTTTTTTCCAGGTGTTCTGTTTCAAGTGTTTCTCC